ACTTTTGCCTGCAAATCAACATCACTTAGCACAGTTTGGTTACACTTTGTCCAAAGGAAATTACAGAAGCCTGCTATGGGGCTAAAATGAAGGAAAGCTGAGGAAAATCAATACGCTGATGATTAAACAGATCGTAGCAAATTCACGGCTGTAAGGTACAGCATGGAGACATCAGTGTGATGCCTATCTAGCAGTTAATGTGCTTTCAGTCAGTTGAAGAAAATTTTACAATAAGGCAAAATGTAACAGAAAAATACAAGCTACTACAGAGCACTTCTTTTTTTTTATCTGGTAGGAATGGTTCTGTTATTTCAGTTCTGTTCTGCTGTTTGACTTTACAGAAACTGTAGAAGATGCTTAGATTTAAGAAAAAGAAAATCTATTTTATGAGGGAATTTGCAGTGGGGGTTTTAAAGAACTATCTGTCTTGCGGTATCATTCACACCTATTGTAAAAGCTCTGTATTTACCGTTATTTCAAACCACTCTTTTCTGTCAGTGAAGTTCAAGTGTGATAATTTCTATTTTAATCTTCCTTTCACTTTAATTAGAAGACAAAAAAGTATAAGCATGTTTCTAAATAAGTATACTAACAACAAGGATAATATTTAGTGTGAATTGTATATTGTCTAACAAAGCGATAATCTGTTGCTACTGATTTTAAGTAATAGAGAAAATTTAGAATAAAAATAGGCAAATGGAGTTTTTTTGCATGTTAAATTCTTGTGTACATTTAATAGCACTGAGTATTCAGGAAATAAATGTGGAAGGAGGAAAGCAGTCTTGGAAGTAATAGGCAAAGGCCAGCATCAGAATATAGCAAGGATTCTGAATGGGTCCAGGGACTTCACATTTGCAGACACTTCTCATTTATGGACAGGAAAGGCTTTGTGTCTACCACCCATGGCAGGGCCTCCAAAGCATAATGTGAGCCCCTACAATGCATGTTTACTCTACTAAGTGATAGCCACATAAAAAAAGAATACATAAAATGAACCTGCAATGTTAGAGGCAGTTTGTCACTATTGATAGAAATAGGGATGCCAAAGAAGAATTAATTACAATCAGAGGGAACAGAACAACTCTGATTTGAGCTTTTGCAAATCAGCATATGCCCATTTCAGTGGATTTCAAAGGCTCAGATGAGGAGATGGCCCACAGAGCCTGGCTCATTCCCTTCTCAGAAAGGATGTTCGGGGAGCAAAGGAGATTATTTCTCTTTTTCACACAGCTTGAGTATCTGCAGAAAATGTTCACACTGGTGAAGGAACATTGCTGGGCTACTCCTTGATTTTTCTGACTGGCAGCCTGGAGCCTTTCAGTCATATTCACCTCAATGTAACAGTGCGCTGTCATCGTGCAACATCATGGGCAGAGACTCCCAAAGTTGTGTGGGGCATCAGTGTTAGCATGCTACCAACTGCACCTACCTTTTTCTCACACAATCTACCTCCCACTAGCCACTCCTCATAGGGTCCACAGTGAGAGTCACTATCAGAGCAAAGCAAAGCTCTGGTGCATTCAGGGGCTTTTTCTAAATGTGCTCACCTCCTTATATGCAGAATGATGCATGTTTGTGTACTCACTCAAAAATCAGTAGAAGAAAATACTTGGGCCATTCTTCTGAACTCTAATGTGAAAACGTTCCTCACAGACGCATACTACTTTCATCTGAGGATTTCCCAAAGAACAATGTTTTTATAGTTGCAACATAATCTGCGATTCTTTATTTTAATTCAGAGAAGCGTAATCAAAACAGGGGAAAGTGAAGTGCCAGAAAAGTTTACCTGTGCACTAAGCTACATTCTGTGGTTGATTTATTTATATGATGGACTACATCCTTCATTTAGCTGATAATTTTATTGCTTAGCCAGTCTTAAAAAAAAAAAGTCTGTTTTTCTAAGAGGCTCTGCACCAAAAAACATAAGTTTTGTTTTGATTTGCGGCAGGTAAATGCATAATGGCTTTAATAGTAAAAAAATTTAATTAGTCATAAAGCTAATAAGGTGCAGCTAGTTTTTCTGACTGATAGCATCTTGTGGTCTTTGGTATCAGCTGGGGAGCTGTAGATTCAGCACTCCATTAAGAAACTTAAAAATTCCAAATAAAACATATATAGAAATAGTCTCGATATTAAAAAAAACCCCAAAATATAAATAAACACAAATACAGATTTAAATGAAAAAATAGTGTTCTCTTAACTCTGTCTGTGTCAAAAATTCTGTCAAATTTCATATTTATAACTACAGTTAAGTTGCAAACTTAGTAAAAGGATGAAGAAAATTCGAAGAAATTTCAAAGAAAATACAAATATGATAGACATAACTACGCAGCACAATAAAAATGATGTTAAAATGTATTCTTATTTGAAGATGTTTTGTTTTCCCAATTCATATGGCAGCTCAGAGTAAAAATTTCAACAAAATTTTTAAAAAAAGTTTTAGTGTTTTTTTCTGTCACTGGGATCATAACCATGCACTAGAAAATCACATTTGAAAAGATTTACAGCTCATGAACACTCTAATAGATTGCTAATTTTACCAAGATTTAACTTCTCACATGTTTTCTCTAACTCTGTGTCTAGACCTGTAATTAATAGGGTAAAATAACTGACAGTGAGAGCTGTAGTAAAACATGTCTAGATGGTATTGATAGATTAAAATGTGAAACAATACTATTGGAAAATGTGGGAAAAGATCCATGCCAGAATCCTCTTGGGTTTGCCAGTTTAATTGTGCTCCTGGGTATGTAGTTTTCAAGATTTTCTTCAGTTGTGGCATTGAAGGAAAAGTAAAATGAAGTGACAGAACAAATTAGAAGGCGATAATGGAAGGGAAAGTGAATAAACCAAGTGTAAACTTTTGATAGGAAACACTTGTGTAAAGCCCAATACTTACACGCTATTTCCCTTTTCTTTTTTTTTTTGTAACTCTAAAACTTTGATGAAGATGACTAATGAACTTTTTAATTGTGTAGTTTTCCATATTTAAGATGAAACATGAATGTGCTCCCAAACTACGCATTTTAAAGGAACAGGTTCCTCAAAGTTACCAATAATGCTAACTTTTTCTATTAAAATTGCACAATATGTTTAGCCTGAAAAAAAATTTTGCTGTTTGGTTACTTACACTAATTCGTATTTGACTATAATAAGTTAATTATGAATGGAATTCTCTTTAATTAGTAGCACACAAGTTGTTTAATTATACAAAGAATACTATTAAAAAGAAAGTATAGCCATAATAAATGTTAAGATTTTTCTGATGGCAAAAAATCCAAATGCAACACAGTGTATTACAATGTTTGATAAAGCTAGCTTTCAGCAACAAAACTATTTGAAAACCTCTGAACAATGCATTCATTTTTTTTTAATGTTGTGGAAGACATTAGCATGCTAAAGGTCTGATCATTAAAAGTTTGGATTGTTTTTCTCTATTAAATCAGATATGCCTCCTACAATTTTAGAATACTTACTTCTTTCATAAATTAATTGTTCTGTGCCTATTTGATAAAGAATCTCCCCCACGTGAAAAAGCAAAATCTCAGTAGATGCGGATTTTACACTGCACTAGATCAATCCCAATACCAGTAAATGGATATTATTAAACAGCATGGGGTAGTGCAAACTGGGAAAGAAAACTTGTAGTGTGCTGCCTTTGAGCAGACCTGGCTTGCATGCTGTGACAGGGCAATTGTCGACATGCTTTTTCATGCCAATCTGCAGCTTTTTCAACTCTAGATGCTATGGCAACCAGGGTTTAACAGACTAAGCAGCTAACAAGCTTCCCTGATGGAATTGTCTGGTTGTATGATTGCCTTGTCTTAGTGAAAATATAAAATAGACTGAAGACGCTTGTGGACATTTGTCAAACTGATTATAATCTGGACGCTCAACTCATAATTATCTGCTATATATTGCATAGTATTGACCGGCAGTGTTTTCTGTGCTGTCTGTAGAGAACATGAGTGCCTTTCTGTACAGCCTGTTTCCTGTAGAAAGAATGGGTTTTGGGTAAACTGAGTTGGTCAACATGGAAGGTGAGATTATGTGGATATAGAAAATAAATACTACTAGAAGAGGGTTTCTTTCCTCCTCCTTTGCATTTTTTTGGTAATTTATTTTTAAAATGAAAAAAACCCAAAAGTCAGTTATAAACATATAAATATAAAACATGATCCTTTACAAACATATAAAACCAACAAAAACCCCAACCATTTTCAGGACACATTTTAAAAAGTCTTTATGTTTCTTGATGTTCATTATCAGGCAGTTGAGTCTTTTTTGTTGGCCCCAATGAATGGCTTGTGTTTCTTGCTTGCTTGTTTGTTGTTTTTTAATTTATTAAAAAAAAATTAATTAATTTCCTCAAAAGAAAAGGGCATTCACCATAAAACATGGGCCTAAGATTACATGTTTCCTAGCACTTTTTACAAGCTGAAATCTGTGCAATTCATTACTTTTTAGACTGCTTGTCTACTGGTATAACATTGCTTTATTGTTTTGAATCTGGTTTAGAGGTTTAGATATAATAAAAGCTAAGCAGAATGTTTCTTGTTTGTTTGTTTTTGATTGCTTGTGTGGGTTTTTTTTTGGGGGGGGGGTACTTTTTTTTTTTTCTTTTTGTCCTGGGCAAAGAAACCTTGAAGCATACTTTTCTATAAGAATTTTTATAGCAGTATTACCACTCATACTGCACTTCCGAGTGAATTGGGTTGGTTCTTTTGCAGTAGACTTGAAGACAACCCATAGAATGCAAATGAGGTTTGAGTTCACAAGTGGACTTTTTGTCTTTGACAGTTTGATTCTTGGAACTATATCACTGCAGATGCTCCTGACTAAAGGTATCCTCTCAGTGATCCTAATTTAGGGGTTCTGTCTACCATTGTATGTCTACAAGGCCAGCAAATATACAGATAACTTCGTTCTTTTCTGTAGGCAGACAAGTTCCTTACCCAGTTTTACAGATCCAAGTGGATTGCCATCCTCAAGACTTTGTGAGTAAATGGTACAACCATGCACCATTTCTTTCATAAAGGAGAATGTGAATGTCATGGACAGGATATTGCAATCAAGCATTCTTGCAAATATGGGAAGGAAGTTTGTTCAGTTCCAAAGTGAAAGAACAATAGATTTTCTTTAAGTGTGCAAGAGAAAAAACCCCAAACCAAAAAAGCCCAACAAAACAAAAATGACAAAAAAAAAACCGCAAACAAAAAACATCAAGAAACCCCTCCCCCCAAAAAACAAACCAAGCAAAAAAAGAAAAAAGCCCAAAACAACCAAAAAAATCCCCAAATCCAACACCAAAAAAAAAAAAATAAAAAGATTTTATTTATTGAATGTGCAAATTGTTGTGAGCTCCAAAATTTGAGATGCTGAATTCACACATGGTTCAAAATTCTCAGTTTCTCCAGTTTGTACTGATGAAGGGTCATAAGTTCATCTTTGATGGTAAGACATCCATAAAAGGAGTAGTCTTTGTCCAATTTAGGAAATCTTCAAGAAATGGATTTCTAGATAGCTTTAGAGTTATCCAGCAGAAGCCTATACTTTTTTTTAAGTCAGTCATCTAGATTTACACTCTGTTGGCAAACAAGATAAGACCATAGTCTTTATTGTATAAAACTCAGATCCATCTTTGTATTCTCTTTCTCCAAAGAGTGAATATGTTCATCATAAGGAGGATCTTTTTTTTTTTAAAAAACAAATAACTATTTTAGCTTGAAACAACATTTTTTTGTGTGTTTGTATTCTTCATCTCTTTTTCTGTTTTTGTTTATGCAAATGCGTAAAAGAAATAATACTGCATTTGGAAAACCAAGTTTTAAAATGTTGGGTTGTAAGTTTTTTGTTGGTTTGTTTGTTTGGGTTTTTTGTTTGTTGTTGTTGACTGAATGGGAAAAATCCCACGGTACTAATATTCCAGTGTCCAAATAATTAGCTTTGGCCATGGAAAACAGAAGTTATGATCTGCAGCACTGGTGTTGATTACCTCTAATGGTAGGGATTTTATACTTCCTTTCAACTTACAGTTTTTCTATGAGAGAACTTGTATTCTTTTTGCCCCTGAGGAGACTTTTGATAACTGTCTAATTTATAAGGACTTCCAGGTCTTAGACACCATCTAGCTGTAGTACAAGCCATTAGACTCTTTTTGATCATCTGACATGGTACATGCACAATTCATTGTATGTTTGAAGTTCACTGTACCTTCAAGCAGAAAAGTTTACCAGTTGCAGGTAATCTTGTTTCCTGAGTTTGAAACTAGCATTGTAATTAAAAGGACATATGCAGAAAATAAAAAAACCCAAACTCAACCAAACCCCAAAACCAACCAACCAACCAACCAAAACCCCCCAAAACAAAATCCCAAAACACAACAGATCATTGTAGGTGGGCTTTAAGCCCTTCTGCCTTGTCTATGATGAATCATGTGGATTACTCAGGTGGCTGCCCCATCCCTGGAAATGTTCAAAGCCATTTTGGATGGAGCTTTGAGCAACCTGGTCTAGCAGAAGGTGCCCCTGCCCATGAAAGGGCACTTGTCTTTGGCAACCAGATCATCAGGAGATTATGAAAACAAAATATTTTGATTTTTAATCTTTTGTCTGGCAATCCTAATTTAAAACAAAATTATACAGAAAACCATAGTTTTTCAGTCTTGTCATGGTAAGCCGAGGTCTAGCAGGATACATTTTGAACTGTGGTAAGTGCAGTTACAACTTTTTGTAAATTTCTGACTATTTAGTCTTAGGAGAATGAGATGTGGAAATGTCTATCTATTTTTACTTATAGAATTTACCTGTTGAAAGCTTCACAATGACATTGGCCTTGAAGAAAAAGCCAAAAGGTCATCAAATAAACAAAATTAAGAAGGTCCTATAAACCCAGCATCAAAATGCATTTATTGCACAGGAAAAATGATAAACACATCATCAACTCATGGGCAACATACAAAGGAACTTCCCCAATATCTTGTGACACAATAGTAACATGGCTTGGGATTTTTTTTTTTTATATTGAATGTTACAGTTTTTATTCTTGTTAAACTGAAATCACTTTAAAGTTATTTTGGAAGCATGAAGGAGTAGCATAAGTAAAGTAAAATAATGGAAAAATCCCCGTATTTAGAATTGTGAATAGAATCCCATAGAATAGAATAGGATAGGATCACCATATTTAGAATAGAATCCCCATATTTAGAATTGCGAATAGAACCCCATATTTAGGATATTGTGTCTGCTACAAGTTTCTTTTACACAAATATAATAAAAGAAACAAGCTGACTAAAACCTAAACAAAGAAATATAGCATCGTAACATACAACCAGAATAAAGTAGTTAAACACACAAACTGCCTTCACTTCTGGAATTAATAGAGTGTGGCTGGCTAAGATTTATTTACTTGAATACAATTTTGCTCCAGGAACTATTCAGTTTGTATGGTATACAATGAGTGAATCCGTGAAAAGAATTGACAGTAAATGTCCTTCAGTAAAATGCAGCATTCTTATTTATAGAAATCGAGGTACTATCTTTTATGAGAAAACTTCAGTCAGGAAGAAAATTTTATTTTTGGTATATAACTTAAGTTATCCTCATAATACCCTTAATTGTTAACACTAAAGGGAAAACATTTTAAAGAAGCTAACAGTTCAAACTATCAATACAGGTTTTTTGAATTTTTGTTTTCTACTATCCCAACTACTCTGAATTTTAAGTTATGTACTTTACTCAAAACAACTATTAAAATATATATAGATGTTTACAAAATATTTTGTAAGAGATGTTAATTTACACATAAATGTATAAAACCTCAAAAAGCCTAAAGACAATCTGAACATTTAAAGCACATTAAGTATTAGAAAATATTTGTCATTTCAAATATATGCATGTACTTATCAACATATGAATGCATATCAATTCTCCTGTTTTTTCATAGTATGTAGATTTTTGTTTAAAGATTAGATTTCTGATCTTTGTAACTATGGAAGCTATGTACCAATAGAGTCCAAGAGGCTAGCATATGCATTTCAACTGCTCTTCTCATTTAGAATTTTTAACTGAAAATATTGCCTCACCCAAGTTACTCCATTTCCCCCGTGATGGCTGTGTAATTCTGATTTCCATGATTTGCCTTTACCTGCCTGCCTCATGACTTCATGAGTGGCTATTTCTCATGGTAGCGTTCAAACAGTTGTTAATTTTTTGCAGGGAAGAGATAATGTAAACACCTCTTTTGCTTGAAATGCTGTCAATACAATAAACTAGTAGCAATCTAACGCATTCTGTGCTTATCGCAAGAAGGATTCATTCTTTCTCATTATGAAAGAATATTAAAAGACATTCCCACAAAGGTTCTGCTTCTATGAAGCAGTCAGTCTCAGGAGCTTGAAATGGTTGGCTGGAGCATGCATGAATTTGTTTGCTATTTCTAGAATATATTTTATCAACACCTTTTCTCTACAATTTACATTTTCAAAATGTCACTGTTTCTGTGTGAGATACTAAGTATGGATCAATTAACTGTTGATGCTTTCTGCCAAGAATAGATGTTGTGATATAACATATATGCAGGACAGAATAAATATTCTATGATGGAAAAGCAGAAATTGCCAGGCTATGGGTGAGTAATGCATCTTGAAGGTTACCTGAAGACATGAGTCAAATGCTAATTATTAATGTAGACGCTGTTATAGAAATAGTTGAAATTTGGGAGAAAAAAAAGATAAGGAAGTCTAATTTTTTAGTTGTTATCTTTTGTAGGGAAAAATAAAGCTTAACTTACCTGCTTTGAAAATGTATTCAGGTAGGAAAAGTTAAAATATGGTTTCTACAGTCAGAGCAGATTCAGCACAATAAGTCTAAAATGCTCTTAGAAACTCATTGTACAGAATGAAGTAGGTGTCTGAAGGAATTAGGTCTTCTCTGAAGCAACACAGGCTGCTCTATCTAGAGAAAGCTGTGATAGAGAGTAGAAGGGTGCTTTTGTGAAGTACCTTATCCTTGAAAGGTTTTCTTGTGCTTTTTAAGAGATCTGGAGAGGATGAACTATTTGAAGTCTTGCGGACTCTCAGTTTTTTTTCTGGTGACTTTAAGGTTCAGATTGAGGAATGTCAGGGCAGCTGGGGTGAAGGCAGTTTGCAAGTACTTGCTGATGCTTCTTATGTCCCCTGTATTTTAACAAATGGTTATGAATCCAGAAATGACAGTCTTTGGCAATAACTCAAAGTACTGGTACCTACACATTGATAGAGAATGATTGGGCAGAAAGTGATTATTTCTAAAAATTTCCATAGGCTGACTTTTGGTTATTGTCATTGCAGTGTACAGAATTATTTTAAAATTTAGACAATCAGATTTTACCTTCCTCTCACATGAACCAGAATGTGAACCTACCTGTTTTCATTTACCACTATGTGACGTCACTGAATGATGATACAATCTGCAGTAATTTGGAAAAGAATAAATTGATATTGCATTTGTGCCTTATTTTTGTTCATAATGAGGTTATACCTCTATGAACACCCATCTAAACCAGTTGTTTTTAGAAGTCTTACATGACATTAAGGTCATAGCTGGGTTGCAAGAACCTCTGCATGAAACAGAAAAAGAAGGTTTTAGACTGCTGTTACATGCTTTTTTTCCTTCCAGAGCTGCAGTCTGTAAGGTCTTAGTCTCCTGACAATTGCAAAGATGAGATGTAGCCCTAAGTGCAGTCTTGCCAGAATTCATGACATGAGTCTGCTGCTTCAAAGGAAGAGATTCATTTAAAGTGAGGCACTATCAAGGAATTCGGGTGATGACATAATAATGTAATCTTTCACAAAAATGCTTATTGAAAAACTGTCCCTCATACAGGCAAAACCTTTTTTGAAGATCCTTGCTTTCAGCCCACTTCAGTACGATTTAGTACTTCTGCCTGTGCTCAGTTGCATATTTGTCCCTGCAGACCTATTTGTGGGAGTAAACCAGCAAGGGTATACTCGCTCATATAAGTAAGCAAGACTTTGAAAGAAAAAGCCTTGTCTAATTTGGGTATGTACGGCAGCTGCACCTACTTGAATTCTCTGAAAAGAGAACCCCACTACCTCTCTCATCACACTTAGACACACTTCTATAGGTTTTATGCATGAAGTTTTAAACATTAGGTAAAACATCTGAGGATAAATGAGTAGCAGCATGTCAGGAATTACCTATTTGCCTTTTGTTTGGGATCACCACTTCAACCATTTGCTTTCGTGAGCCCTAAGAGATTTGTTCTATACTTCACTTTGCAGACTTCCCAAATTTCTAACATTCATGGTATTTGGGTAAAGCAGAACTACAATATGGTTTGAAATTTTCACTTTGGATAACTGTTTGAACAATTCTTCAAGATACTATGTGTTTTGAAAGTTAAATGGACAGAATTTTGAAAATTGCTGTACTGCAATCAGAACTCCTTTCTCCAATACAAGGACCTTCTAACATTATTGGGTAATGATGTATAGAGTACAATACATTAATATTTCTTTAATGTGTTCAATGGTACATAAGAATGTAGTAATTAGGCACTAAGGGATTCCTTTTGCTATGGTTTGATGAGGTGGTCAATTACCTGTGCTGTATGACAGCAAGTGGTACAATCAGTTTAACTTAACTTAATAAGTACATTGACAAAAAAGGCCACTGTGATGTACATTAGTTTCACTGAAAAGGTTCTTTTGAGTTATTACCAAAGTAAAACCTCAAATATCAATTAATTTAATTTGTTTAGAACAGTTTACTCTTTACACATCATCAAATCTTTTGCTATCAGAGATTGTACTGTACAGCAGGTAAATTATAAATGTCTAACCAAAAAGTGAACATTTGGCTGCAATGGCTACTTAAACAATATTAAAGGTAACAATTTAACTAGAATTTTCCTTTAACTGAAGCTCTTAAACTAAGATTGATATAGAACAGTTTTAGAGAAGAAATAATGCCTACTGATTTATATAAAATGCTGTTCACTGTATTTTCCTTTTTGTATTAGATTTAATGAATAGATATGCCTTTTTTATTTTGTGGTACCCTACCATTAAATGATACCATCATTTTTTTTCCTGCCTAAATAAATTCTAATTCTTGTCACCTTCTATCTCTACATGAAGATTTTAGACATTATTCCTAATTGAGATTTTTACTGAATATCTTTTAAAGATAAATTTGTTTTATTCTTTCATAGACTATTTAAAAGGATTTTTCACATTTTTATCTTCTAAAGGAATTGTCAATGAGAAACTAAAACTGCATAGACTATACATTAAAATCACTTTAGTTTTTAAGCTGTCATGAACTGTTTCAAAAAATGCTAAGTTGCTATTGTTTAATGTCTGTCATTTTATAATGCTTTAGAAGTTATCTATCCTGTAAAATTATTAACTGATGCTAAAATTGCCTTGTAAGTATTAGGACAATAGCAATTTTGTAACAGCTGGGACACTGCCAATGTAAGATAAGTACATTTTGCTCTGTAGATTCATAAAGTGCTTTGAAATGGTTTGTAACTGATGGATGGATGCATTTTCTAAGTGTAGAAAGCAATATTTTGTAGAGGGAAATGGCTTGAAAGCTGACACACATGCATGCAAATGCCATTCTCTTCAGTAAGTAATTTGCTTTTTCTTTCAAAAGCATAAATGGCATAGTTAGACACATTATTTTGTATATTGCACATAACAATACAAGATGCACAAAAACAGCAAGTACAAAACATTTCATATTGATAGAGGAACCCATGGCTGTAGTATATGATTAGCATAAATGTATACACACTGAAGAAATGCCTTCACGATTTAAAAGTAAGGCTGAACACAGGAAAAGTTCTAACTTCAGGAAATTAAAATATTTAGAATATACTTTCTATTTCTCAATCTTGTACATTTTATACTTTCTATTTCTCAATCTTGTACATTTTATAATTAATTATGACATGTAGGGCCTGAATTAGACCTTACTTATGCTCAGTACTGCATCTGAATTGATGGTGCCTTATCAGGCTTTCGTTTTGAAGGCAAATCAGCCAAATGAATCCTTACAGTGTTCGTATGTCAATGACAAAACCCAGGAGGATACTACTCTGACATACATGTAGGCACAGATAGCATAGATGAAATTTGTCTTGTAATTTAAGAACCATTAAAACCTAAAACTGATTTCTATCTTTGTGTTCTATATTTGTGGTTCATATCACTATCATTTAGCCAGCTTCTGTAACAATTTTTCATGGTAAGCTGGTGTTTTAGGTCTTAGCCCTTGGAAATTTCTATGCCTACTCATCTATCCGACCTTGAGGAGTGACAGCCTCACTGAACAGCTGAGAATAATACAGTTAAGTCTATACTGAGTAAGTGAAGGAGTCCCAGTCTTAGTCTGGAAAATGGTCCCCAATGGAATCTTTGGAATATCAGCTTGAGCAGATCTATTCAGTGTGATTAGTGTCAACATATGGCCTTTTTGTTTAAAGAAAGGAACATTTCCTTCATAGAAACTTGTTAAATTTCTCATTCAACAATTATTGTAATATGACCTTTATTGTTCATCATTTTCACTAAAATTTCTGCTTCTACATCAGATTCTTTCTTAAGATATATATTCCCATTAGATACAAAACAGCCATTAATCTTAATGGAAACTATGCTCAGAAATGGAGTGAGAAAGATACCCAGGAGGTTTTGTCATACCTTTAAATTCAGTACCAAAAAAAAAAAAAAGATTTGATCTATAATCTGATAATGAATGCACATTGTTGAAGAATTAAAATTTAAAATATATTTACATACTTCCTGAATTTATATTAAGAAGAATTGAAAAAACACTTTTACTGGCTTGTGTGGCAGATTTCATGCTGTATCCTAAGGAATACTGCTCGTGTTGTGATACTGTAGGAAACAGAGAGGGGTGAATAGCTCATAGAAACAGCTTATCTGACAATCTGGGTCTTATATATATATTTTTTTTTTGTTCCTTGCTTGTGAACAGATGATATTTGTTTCTGAATTCTGTTTTTACAATATAAAAACATTTTATATTTGTCCCATAACTTTATATATAAAATTCAAAATTTGAGCAGTAAAGTTTACTGTAAACGATACGGTTTTACCTCTGTTTCTGGACTTGATGTCCATGAAATGCATGAAACAAAAACTTGAAAAAATCTGAAGTTTGTTTGTTTATGTTTTTTGAGTATTTGAACATCTCTTTTTAGAATTAGCTGTCAGATTTTGTAACCGCAAAATTGTGGCAATATTACAATACATGTGACTGGTAAGAAAAATAAATCCACAAGCAAAATAAATAATTCAGTTTATCTTTCAGAAGACCCTTTGTGTATTATAAATTGAATGATTCTATTAATAATAGGAATATTTTGTTTTTAATTGAAAATCCTGATTGCAGTTCTTTAAAATTTTGTCTCATAATACCTCTTTATCTTGAAGGATCAGTTTGTAGGAGGGAACCTGTGAAAAACATTTAATCAGAAACTAGCAAACAATCAGTAGAGTGGCAAGAATTTGATAGTAAAGAATACTTCTCCGTAAAATTGTCAGATTGGAAGGATCTGATAACTTCCACTTCTAGGAGCTACTTGGAAAATTTGCAACTATTTTTAAATGCTTATGTTTTAAGAAAGGAATTGTAATATAGGACCATGAAAATCATTTTACTAAGACTAGGTTAGGTGTTTATCTGTATTATATCTGCCCTAAGGAGAAAATTCAGAGCACACTTTGTGATTTTGATAGCTTGTGTGACTGGAGCCCATAGGTAGAAACTGTGCCTTGGAAGACATAACATTTTTTTTACGTATAATATATGTAACTTTTAAAACATCACCAGAGATAAGCTGAAAATATAACCTACGCAACCAAAAACAACCTGAAGAAAATATTTATCTATGGACTATATTACAACTTGAGTAACATTATAGATCTCTTGAAAGCAGTATTCAAATAAAATTTATTTATGATTTTGCATTAAAAAATTAGGTAACTGATTTTTTTTGAAAAAAAAAAGAGAAAATAAAAATGCTGTCCTTTGTGGAAAAAATATGTGAGAGAATTAAAATATAAAAATATTTGAAATATTATTTTAATTTTAAAATTTACATTTTTCAGTTTTCTTTTCTTTATGTAAAAGTATAATTAATAGGGAATAATGTGAAGAAAAAAATGCGTTCATTTATATTTTCTCTTCCATTATAGTTCCCCTTTGTTTTCCCTAACTGGTGTCACATTTTTCCCTGCAGATTTACTTCATCCTTTGTAAGAAAACAAACAGACACAAAAGCCCTTCCTAAACTAGGTAAGAAATTAAAGGCTGGTTTCCCCTCTTTATTAGCCTTCTAGAAACTTTTCATAGTTGGGTGTGTGCACATATAAAAATATTTCATATAACCTTATATCAGTCCTATTGCTGCGTAGTGAACACAACAAAGTTCTTAAAGCACAAATTGATCTTAATGTTCTTGAAAAATGAAGCTAAAATATTTGGGAATAACATGGGATAAGGTTATGCTTATTTGAATAAATAAGTAATATGGACAAATATATTTGCTTTCCCAGAGTATGCATATTGATAGCGTGTAATTACCATATGTAGTACAGTGGAGGAAAAGTCTGTATTTGATTTTAAGGTGATGAAACTACTACTTCACTAAGTAATGCTAACGAGAGGCAGAAACCAGACATCACTGGAAACATAAGCAATTTCGTTGTCTTAGCTTTCCATTCAAAGCCACTGAAAATTCTTTTACTTAATCTCATAATCATCTTGAAATAGCTGACTCTTATATGTTGGTTTTTTTTTTATAGCAGCCATGATGTTTGGATTAAAACTCCTTTTGTACCTTTTGAAAAGGCAAAAAAAATGGCTTAATGGAAATTGTATAAATAACTGAGAGTTGCTGCTCCTCAGGAAAAAAAAAATTGTTTATGAAGAAATTTCTTAGTGAGCATTTGGCCATGATTTAGGGACCACTTTGAATTCTTCAGTTTGGCCTATTGTGAAGTAGATGGGATCATTTTCTTCTATACAATTTCTGCAATTCTACCTCTTATTTTAGCACATAATTAGGAGTCAAGCATTCTGAGGGAGCAGGTTGCACAGAAGCATATTTACAATAGTGATTTGAATAGGTTTTATGTACTCTAGCTATCAAGGCGCAGTAACCTTTAATCATAACAAGGACTGAAGTGAGAAGAAAAACTTGGTGATACTCTGTAGAAAGCTCTTTCTTGCCACACTCATAAGTCCATCATTCCTTATTTGCTTCTTTCAGGCTGTGACTCAGTAGCTAGTATTACAAGACTGAGATGAAACAGTAAGATAGTTGTAGATAAATCGTTATACACATGATGTTTTATTTTCAAAATGCAATGGTCCTGGCAACAAAAAGCTTTACTTGCAGTGAATTGTTGGTGGGTACTTTCACATTTTAAAATTATGAAACATGAGGTTCTAGCAGGTTTCACTTACCTCCTGAAATTATATTTTATAAAATTTGCACACGTGTCATACTTTTTATCAGCACTTTTTTTAAAAAACTATTCTGCATGTATTAAGGAATTGAGTCAGAACACTCTCTGAATAGGTCAAAGTCTAATATCATTTTTTTGCAAGACAGAGAAGCAGACAGAGGTTCAGCACTGATTATGCACCATCTGTAAAATGCTGAGCTCATTTAGCTTCTATTAATTTACACATGCTTTGACATAAGATTAAGATGCTTTGCATAGTACAACTAGCATTCAGTCTTCATAAGACTGGGTCTTACTCAAATTGAAATAAGATACCAGTAATACAGTTTTAGTATGGTCTACAGTGGTATAGTCCATGTACCTGAGGCAGTAGGAACTGGTTACCTTTCATAGTAAGACAGAAAAAAATTCAGAGGCTGCTTCGAGATTGCTCTGACTCAAAGTATGTGCAGCCTGTGATCTTGCATTGCCATAGTCAGAGGCAGTAGGTCACCTGGGATTGTTCTTCAAGTGACTAATTTTCCTGTACAAAGACACAAAGTAGAACAAGTTACTGATTTCAAGGATCTTCTGAACTTGCTAGGAAAATGTGGTACTTTAAGTGCAAAAATCTTTTTCCTTCCCTCTCTTCTTTCTCCCTTCCTCCTTTATTCCCTCCCTCCCTCCCTCCCTCCCTCCCTCCCTCCCTTCCTTATCTAATATACCTGATGTCTCTGATTTTCCCTTTCTCCTTTTAATTATATTCATTTACTATTTGACTCTTTCTTCAATTATTTTCCCTCTGTCCCGCTAAAATAAGTGCGGTTTGGTTGTTGCCCAAAACATATGTCATATAAATGTATCCAGTAAACAGTTTATCAACAACATTTCATAGTTTTACTTTCAATCTGCAATATTTCCTAGCAATTTAAAAGTAGCATAATTTAACAAATTATTGAAACAGAGAGGAGCAAAAAACATTTTTAGGGCAAGATAAAAAATAATCTGTATTTACATGCAATTAAAGATAAGTATCTCTATAATATATTATTCCACATTACTGAACAGAATTTTCAAAAACATAGAAAATATTTATTTTTGTAAGTAAAGAAATACTGTTAATTCTGATACTATTGTAGAAGTGGAAGCAGTAAGATATTTCACTATACTGTATAGCTGATAGAGCTATACTGAACAGTAAACAACTTTACTGTTGTTGGCTACATTTGAGGATATATCGTGTTCTCAGATGTTCTTATGATGAAAAGGACTGAATAAAAGAAAGGGAATTCATATACCATATTTCACTACTGAAATGTCCAGTTTGTGTCTCCAGGTCTTCCTACCCTGAAGGCTGTCAACTCACAGAAGAATGATTTGGCAGTATAACAGTGAGGAAGTGTAACTACTCTGTTAGGTGGCATCAACCTCTAAATGAGAAAGATGTGTCAAGTAGAGTTCTTCTTGATTAACTGCTGGGCAGATGAAACTTAATTTCAGTACAGTTAAGAGGGAAATGAAGAATATATATATTCTGGGCAGTTAAAAAAACCATTCAACACTGTCCCGCATGACATCCTTGTCTCTAAATTGGAGAGACATCAATTTGATGGATGGACCACTCGGTGAATAAAGAACTGTCTGGATGGCCTCACACAAAGAGTTGTGGTCAATGGCTCAATGTCCAGCTGGAGACCAGTAACAAGTGGTGTTTCTCAGGGATTGCTTTTGGGACTGGTCTTATTCAACATCTTTTTTGGCGACATGGACAGTGGGATTGAGTGCGCCCTCAGGAAGATTGCCGATGACACCAAGCTGTGTGATGCCCTGGAGGGAAGGAATGCCATCCAGAGGGACCTTGACAAGCTTGTGAGGTGGGCTGATGCCAACCTCATGAAGTTTAACCATGACAAGTACAAAGTCCTACACCTGGGTCGGAACAATCCCAGGCACAGCTACAGGTTGGTCAGAGAAGAGATTCAGAACAGCCCTGCGGAGAAGGACTTGGGGGTGTTGGTTGATGAGGAAGTGAACATGAGCTGGCTTCAGTGTCCACTCACAGCCCAGAAAACCAGCCATATCCTGGGCTGCATCAAAAAAAGCGTGACCAGCCGGTTGAAGGAGGTGATCCTGCCCCTCTACTCTACTCTCGTGAGACCTCACTTGGAGTATTGTGTGCAGTTCTGGTGTCCTCAACATAAAAAGGACATGGAACTGTTGGAACAGGTCCAGAGGAGGGCCATGACGATGATCAGGAGGCTGGAGCACCTCCCATACGAAGACAGGCTGAGAAAGTTGTGGCTGTTCAGCCTGGAGAAGAGAAGGCTGCGTGGAGACCTCATAGCAGCCTTCCAGTATCTGAAGGGGGCCTATAGGAATGCTGGGGAGGGACTCTTCATTAGGGACTGTAGTGATAGGACAAGGGGTAATGGGTTAAAACTTAAACAGGGGAAGTTTAGATTGGATATAAGGAAGAAGTTCTTTACTGTGAGGGTGGTGAGGCACTGGAATGGGTTGCCCAAGAAAGCTGTGAATGATCCATCCCTGACGGTGTTGAAGGCCAGGCTGGACAGAGCCTTGGGTGACGTAGTTTGGTGTGAGGTGTCCCTGCCCATGGCAGGGGCATTGGAACTAGATGATCTTAAAGTCCTTTCCAACCCTAACTATTCTATGATTCTATGATTCTTAGAAGGTAGAACTCAAAATGCATGGATGTGTATTTTAATTATAGTTTTCAAAATTATAATTATCAAATGCCTTCCTTTCACTTCCTGCAAGTTAAAGTTCTGAGTTGCTGAACCTGACATCACGAAAAAGCAAAAAAGTTTGCTAGGAATATTTTTTTGTTTATCTGCCAACTGAATTAGTACAGATTTTATATTTTTTCTTTTAGTTTCTGGTTAGATTTTAATGTTTGTTTTCTTGAGATTCAGTGATATCTTACATACCTATAATCATAAATAGGCTTGCAGGTAGAATGCTACTGCTGAAGGCGACACAAAGGCTCTTGTGTGACTGTGAAATTCTTGCTGTCTTTTCAGTAGCATTATGGTCATCTATAGGTAAGGTAAATGGAAAAAACACACCTACAAGTCCGAAGTTTTCAGTTTTATTGAAGGATGTTTACAGTAAGTAAAGCATCCTTCTATCCGTCTCATTAAGCCATTACCGTTGTAAAATCCATGAACACATTAAAAATTTCTACTTTTTCATGCATCTCAGGCAGCATCTTACTTGAGAGTCTCATGGTCACAGATTCTATCAGGTATATAGCTTGAAATAAATAGTTAATATTTGCTGATATTTTTCCTAATTATGCTACTGGAACAACTTGTTCCCCCACCACCCATGTATCTCCCTCCTACACACTGTTTCCATTCAATTCCCCTGACAGTCTATCAGATTGCATGTACCTCTGTGACTTCTAATTCTTCTTAAGGTTTCTGCATCTGAAACAACCTGCTTTTCAAGAACAGAAGGAAGACAAACTTTGAATTTCTAGAAGGATAAATACTTCTGGACAGCAGTTCTTATAAGGAACAGAAAGTGGTGATTAGAAACATATAGTGAGGGATGATATTCACTTCCCTCTACAAATAAATATATAAATATATTTTATTATATAACAACCAATACATAACAGTTATATATAAATATATATGTATTATGTATTACACAAAATGTATCATATATATATATATGTAATGTTTTTAAGCACACGCAAATGCTGAGAAACTTAAATGTTTCATTGCTTTTTCAGAGTCAGGCTTTAATTTCCCAAATGTGCAAAGAAGCTAAGCTAAACTCATGCTTGTTAGTTCAGAATCAAGGACAGTAGCATGTTCTTC